TTTTTTAATTGGAACACAATAAAATACTACCTTCATTGAGTCAGCCACTGCTCTTACTGGGCAGGTTAAATGTAAATGCGGTGAAAATCAGCTCTTTTCTGTGATGCAGCTGCAATCAAGTTTGAACTAAATTTATTTGAGCTTTTAAGATGTGTTCGTTGCTTTGTCCAACTGTCGGACATGTCCCACTGTAAGGCGATGGGTGTAGGTCTTACTCTGTCTGTAACAGTTCGTTCTTATCTTTCACCCTCACTGCTGATGGCACCGTGTAACCTGCTGTTTTCCTTCCGCCAAGCATTGCCTCTGCAGCACGCCTGGCTGATCGATAAGAAGAGGAAATTAACAAAATCATTCACCTACCAAGGAGGGAATAGTGCTTTTAGTCAGAAAATTTCTTTTGAGCTTAGACAAGTTGTTCAGAAAAATAAGTGAATTTAAATTTCATTTTACACACTACTTCTTGGATTTTGCACAATTATCTAATGGTTTTCGGCTGGAGTTTAATTCAGATGCATGGAATCCTGGAGGAAAATGGCAGCTCTTTTTATTCTTTGCGCGCTTGTGTGTGTGTGTGTGTGTGTGTGTGTGTGTGTGTGTGTGTGTGTCTCAAATCAAGTATGATTAAGTATTTAATACAACTTTTAAGATGTTAAGTTTTAACTCTTCAGAAGCCAGTTGAATTGTTGCAGAGTGAAATAGAATTGGTTATTCTCAAAGACTCAGGATAAACTACATAAGCTATACAGAGTGCATTTAAAATGTACAACACAAATTGGAAGTAAAATAAGTTAACAAGATAAGTTTACAGGGATATAGTGCTTACCATTTTTTAATGGCAGGTTTTTTGTTTTTCATTTTTTTCTTATGTGAATGTAGTGAAATTTTACATTCCTTTGTTTTGAAAGATTGGCAATATTTGAAGAGTTAAAAAAGAAAAATAGTACCGAAATGTGAAGTTTGGTAGCTCTTACGGTGTTGTACTTGAGAACACATCCTTCTCTTCTGTGGTTTCCTTTTTTTGACTACTTAGAGTTTTCACAGTTCTAATAAGATTGTTTCCAACTCTCTCATGTGCAAGCTTTAAAGGATGCACTCTTGCCATTTTGTGTACTGGAAGATCATTTGTCAGAATAATACTATGTCTGACAGAAACGTAAACTGTATAAACTGAGGAACCTCAGCTCATCAGTGTTACTCTCTAGATCACCGTGCCCACCACATTTCAAACCCAAACTGCCTCTAGATGTCACAGTCCATTGGGTTTGAGTTTGCAGTTCCCTCAGCTTGCTGGTAATTGTGGTGTTTTGTTTTATTTTGTTGGTCTTTTTTATGCAAATATGATGTAATATTCTTATTTTCTTTGGATCAAAGCTGGACTGAAAATTGTATTGAGTAATTATTTTTTTGTGTTCTTAATGTTATTTGGTACTCAAGTTGTAAATAACGTCTACTGCTGTTTATTCCAATTTCTACTACCTCAGGTGTCCTATAGATTTTTCTTCTACCAAAGTTCACTTTCACAATGAAATTATATTTCCTGTGTGACTATGATTCCTAAGATTTCCAGGGCTTAAGGGCTAACTTCTATTAGCACCTTACTGTGTAAGCAAATGTTTAAAAAGAAAAAAATCTCTGGGTTAAGAAAATTTGGCTTAAATGTATCCTTTGTTATTTTAAATATATCAAGATATTTTAATTAAAATTTTTACCCTAATTGAACCAATTTTATAGTATTTGTACCTATTTTGGTGTTTTGTCTTTATAGTAAATAAAAGTTTTTGAACAAAGGTGACTTGTTGTTTATTTTGAAAGCATTTCAAACTTGCATCTTAGTTGTCATCACTCATGATTCCTGTTCAATCCAGAACTGTTCCCCAGTCCTTTCCTGACCTTCTTAGCCCTAATATTTTAAGATTACAAGAAATATTTTCAGAGACAGTCCTCTGTGTGAGTGAAAGTAAGTCGGTGTGTCTGCTGCTGCCTCATGCTTCAATCCAGTAGCTGCATCTTGAGCAAGAATAGCAGTATTCCTTGCAAATACCATAATTCAAATGCATTGATTCTTCAGTCCAACTTTCATATGCATATGAGGCGACTGAAAATATCATGGCTTGGAGGTGCATAAGCAAATGTGGTGAGAAAAGCTGATGGTGCCCAGCTATCAAAAGATATAGCGTCTGGGGCCTTAAAGGCTTGAAGGTAAACAAGCAGCCATCTAGCTCAGAAGCAACAGAGCCCACATGGAAGAAGCACACCAGCCTGCGTGATCACGAGGTGCCAAAGGGCTCAGTTATCAGGCATCAGAGAACAAAAAATCATATCATTGTGTGCTCACCTCCCTGATAAGATCGCTGAAGACAAATGGGTGCATAAGCAAATGTGGTGAAGAAAGTTGATGGTATAGCATCTGGGGTCTTAGAGGCTTGAAGGTAAACAAGCAGCCATCTAGCCCAGAAGCAACAAAGCCCACATGGAAGAAGCACACCAGCCTGTGCGATCATGAGGTGTCGAAGGGATCAGGTATCAGGCATCAAAGAACAAAAAATATCATTGTGAATGAAGGGGAGGAGTGCGGAGTGGAGACCCAAAGCCCATTTGTAGGCCACTGGACATCCCCTTACAGAAGGAGGAGATGAGCCAGTCAGGGTACGATATAGCAATGATGAAACATACAACTTTCCTCTAGTTCCTAAATGCTTCCTCCCTCCCACTATCATGATCCCAATTCTACCTTACAAATCTGGCCAGACCAGAGGATGTACACTGGTACAGATAGGAACTGGAAACACAGGGAATCCAGGGCGGATGATCCCTTCAGGACCAGTGGTGTGAGTGGCGATACTGGGAGGGTGCAGGGAGGGTGGGTTGGAAAGGTAGGACTGATTACAAGGATCTACATATAACCTCCTCCCTGAGGGATGGACAACAGAAAAGTGGGTGAAGGGAGACATCGGACAGTGCAAGATATGACAAAATAATTTGTAAATTATCAAGGGTTTATGAGGGAGGAGAAAAATGAGCTGATGCCAGGGGCTTAGGTGGAGAGCGAATGTTTTGAGAATGAAGATGGCAATGAAATGTGCTTTACACAATTGATGTATGTATGAATGTGATAAGCGTTGTATGAGCCCCTAGTAAACCGATTTTACAGATACATATATATCTGCTGCACAAGACCTCTTTAAAATACTTAGGGGCGAAGATACCACTTTGAGGACTAGATGTGCCTGATCCAAGCGGGCACATCTAGTCCTCAAAGTGGTATCTTCGCCCCTAAGTATTTTAAAGAGGTCTTGTGCAGCAGATTGACCTAATGTAATGTCTTTTGATGTCTGCTGCTTTGATGAGCATTGATTATAGATCCAAGTAAGACAAAATCTTTGGCAACTTCAACCTGTTCTCCATGTTATCTATTGGTCCAGTTGTGAGGATTTCTATTTTCTTTACATTGAATTGTAATTCATAGTAAAGGCTGCAGTCCTTAATCTGATGTGCTTCACATCCTAACTTTCAGCAAGCAAAATTGGGTCATCTGCATATCACAGGTCAATTAATAGCCACCTCTATAATAAGTGTTCTGTGGGATTAATACTTGGAGACTACATAAATCCCTTGTTCTACGTCCAGCCTTAGCTCTCTGCTGTTAGTCTTCTTGCCCTGAATGCTTTTGGTGATTTCCTCCTTCCTCCTATCGTGTCATTTTACTATTAGAACTTGTTCTTCTCCCACTTATTACTTAACAGTAGACTTGTGAATTCCTATTCAACAAGATACATTCCATTCTTCTCATCACCTCTGGCCAGAGGGTGCTCTCTGCTAGCTAGCTTCTTGTGAGGAGCTGTCTTTATGCTTGGAGCACTTTGTCCCTTATCATCTGATTCTCTGGAAATAACCATTTTTCCCAAGAGTCCCGATTCCTTTGATGCAGGCTGGCACTTAAACTCCTAGATCTGGGTGCTAGATAGGCTCATTGATACGGGTATCCTTCCTAGGCCCTCAGTAGAAGTCAAGAAAAATTATTGTGTTAGTCTGGGTAGACTAAAACAAATTCATGGACAAGTATGTGTATAAAAGAGTTTTATATAAAGGGTGATTGTACATTAAGAAAGCATCCAGACCCAGTCCAGTCCAAGCCCCTAAGTCTGATATTAGCCCATGTGTCGGATATACAGATCTATAAAGCCCTCTTCAGACTCATGAAACACATGTAATGACACCAAATGCAGGATGATCACAGTCCAGTGGGTAGAAAGTCTTTGGATCCAGTAGCAGTGTAAGCATCTCAGCGCTGGCAGGGTTCCCCACGTGGATTCTCCAGTACCCAGGGCTGCATCAGGGTAGGTCCATGTGGCTTCTCAGGGATGCCTTGCAGGGAGTCAGCCTTGTGAGTAAAAAGTTTCCTAGGGAGTGAAGTGTCTTCCACCTCCAAGGAAGAAAATACAGGAGTTCCCAGAATTCCAAGGGGAAGGCCATGCCTACACAGAGGCCTCATTGGCTATAACCCAATTAACAGACT